TTGGGACAGGGCTCCCTGGGGCTCAGAAGCAGGTCAGCTGCTGAACCGTCTACTGGGACATCATGTCTCAACATGCTGCCTGTTTTGCTTCTGTGGAGACCTTGCTGCTGCTCTGAGGTGTGTTGTCTCCACACTGTATATGCTAACTCAGGGGTTCTTTTTCACGGGCCCTAAGGACTGGGCCATTCTGCACATCTGCTTTCACAGTGCACAGAAAGGAGGTCAGCATCCCAAGCCTGGACACCAACAGGGTTGCAGTTTCCTGCAACGACGGGTTTGTCTGGGGTGTGAGCAGAGCACCTTGGTAGCACTCTATGATTAAACCCTGTCTCAAAACATACAAAACCACCACAACAAAACAGAGCTACACTCTTAACTTTGTTGATTTGTTCTGGCTGAGAGCAGTCACTGACACTGCTAAAAATCCACCTAGTCACTCAGTGGGTCATGAGCCTGTATCCACCTGTGAGTGACCAGCTCAGGTCTCTGGTGTGATAATATTGCCAAATGATGTATTGATGTAAATGTTTATAAAAATTATTATATCAGAGCTGAAGAGATGGCTCAGTCAATGAAGTGCTTGCCTTACGAGCCTGAGGACCTGGGTTCAATCCCAATAGAACCCACTTTAAAAAGAAGTGGGTTTGGGGGTACAGTGTGACACATGCTTATCTCAGCACAGGGGAACTGGAAACAAGAGGATTCTTGGAGCTCATTAGCCAGCCTAGCTTGCTTGTTGAGGACCTGGCTAGTGAGGGACCCTGTGTCAAAAATGAGATGGGTCGCACCCGAGGAGCAACACTTGAGGCTGACCTCTGACCTGCACATACACACTCCTATGCACGCACACACTGAGACATGTGTGCAAACATAAGACTGACTCTGGAAGACTCTCATATGCCTACCTATTAACTATTCTACCATTCTTTCTCATTCATAAAAATAAATTTCTGCATGATTGAGAGTCAACTATATAACAGTTTAATTCCTCACTGAATGCCACTGTTGTATGGGACTCCCAAGAAGACTCCTTGGAAACAGATGACTTAGTTGGGAGATATTTCACTCTTCCCTCTTTCACCTCTCTGAAATGTGCATATGCCTGGATTCCAGCAGCTATCAAGGGAGCTGTGAGGTGACACGGACAATAGAAACAATCACTGACAAGGAATGGTGACAATATGAGACCAGTTCCTGATGGCTTTGGGCAGTTCTAGCCACATCCAAACTTCTTTGACATTCAAGAGAAAATGCCGTAGTTTAAGCCAAGATTACTCTGAATTTTCTACAATATGCAGATGATCCCACATATAACTGATAACAGTTATGCCACAATGGCAAAAAAAAACCCACAGGCACAATAAATTTTAAATGACAGAATTGCAGAGGTCATGCTCTCTGAAAATAAGGTTAAGCTATAATAATAACAATAAATTAATAGTGTTCAAAAAGGAATCACTTAATCTCAGTAGGAGCTGGAGAGGGCTCAGCAGTTGAGGGCAGGTGCTGCCCCTGCAGAGGAACTAAGTTTGGTTCTCAGAACTCCCATCAGGAAGCTCACAGACTCCTGTAACTCCAGCTCTGGGGAACCCATGCCCTCTTCTGTCATCTGCACATACCTACACACACATGTGCAAACCTATACGCAAAAACATATAATTAAAAATAAGATAACTCCTAGTGCTGGAGATATGGTCAGAGGTTAAGAGCACACATGACTCTTGCAGAGGAGCCAAGTTCAGTTCCCAGCATCACATTAGGTGGCTCACAATCACCTGTGATACCTTTGACACTCTGGCCTCTGTGGCCACCCAGACACATGTGCGTGCATACACACACACACACACACACAATTAAAAAGAAACATTTTTTAAAATCTCAACTAAGGAGGATTCAAAATTATAATTTCCAACTTATTTGAAAACAATAACAGAGGGTTACATTATACAAGAAAATACACAATACTGGTACTGTCTAAAGGCAAACACAGCTTAAATACTTTTGTTAGAAAGAAAGTATAACAATCAAGACAAAAGGTAAAAAAGCAGGCTGGGGCCTTAGAAGCGTGGCTCAGTGGGTAAAGGTGCTTGCTGCCAGGACCCAGGGCTAAGCTGGAGCTTTAGAACCTACTGATGGAAGGAGAGAAATTACTGCAACTGTGTACCATGGTGTGTACACACATCCCCCACAAAAAAAGTAATAAAAATACTTGCTTAAAGAATACCAGGCCAGAAATATAGCTCAGTTAGTAGAGTATTTGGCTCGAATACACAAAGCCTTGATTGCATCCCCAGAAACAAACACATGTGTGGCAATGCATCCCTCTGATGTCAAGGTCATCTTCAGCTACCTGGTCAACCTGGGCTACTATGATGGGCACTCTACCAACTGAAACCTTTCTCTTTTTCTTTGTTTCTTTCTTTCTTCCTCCTTTCCTTCCTTCCTTCCTTTCCTTTTTCCTTCTTCTATTTCCTTTTTTTTTTTTGAGATATGGTCTCACTATATTGACCTGGAGCATGCCCTAAGGTTCTGTGCTTCTGTTTGTGTTGTTTGAATTCAAAGCTAAGACGACATTCATGTATTGATTATATAAATATTTTATTTCTAAATTTTAATAATTCTTAGTCAAAGGCTCAGGTATCTTAGAGCTTGGAACTCTGTGTAGCTGAAGCTGGCCCTAAAATTTAGATCCTTCTATCCCCATCTCCAAAACGCTGGGATTACAGGCATGTGCCCAGCATTAAAATATTCTTTATAAAAAAAAACTCTCTTGGTGGTATTTTTGAATCCCAAAGAATATATTCATATATTTCTTGTATAAAATATACATCTTTTTCCCTTTAATCCCAGAGATATTTTTGAACTCCAAAGATAAGAAAAAAAATATCAAATGATTCCCAAAGAAACAGAAAAAAATTTACTTACAAAAGAAAACACATTTTAGCCAAATACATTGTTTATGCCTGAAAGGGGAAAAGACATTGCCTGCAAAGCAAATGCAGACAGTGGATGGTTCAAATGCTACTCAAAAGAGCATTAGCCAAACACAAAGCCAAACAGTCAAGGCATTTGAGACAGAAAAGAGTTCAAATCAACTCCAAAAATTGGCAGGTGTATAGAGGTAAAGGTTAGAGGAAGAGCCAGCCTTGGTGACAAGAGCCATATTCTCAGCCCTTGGGAGGCTGACACAGAAAGACTAGGAGTTTGAGGCCAACCTGAGCTACATAGTCGAATCATCTCAATATAAAGACAATGCCTCAAAATGTGGATAGAATTCTTGGTCTCTCTCTGTTCACAGTCCTGAACCCAGGCTCCTCACTCCACCGCGTCAGACAAAAGTCCTCAAGAACACAGTTTGTCTTTTCCACATTTGTGTCCCCAACCTTTTTCAGGGTCTGTTGTGAAGCAATTGTTGGGGGAACACAATCTTAAAAGACTCCCTTTCCTGGGAGTCTCTGCTGATGAGCCCCTGAGCACCTGTAATAACCCTTATTCAGAAAATGAACAAAAGACCAGAGCAAACAAATGGTATGCTAAACCTCTTCCTGGGGTGGGGATTCATATTTACTATTTGATTCTTGATATTGATGATGCTTATATAGAGAATGCAACATGTCTGTGCTATAAAATTGTGCGTGTGTGGTCATCACCAGAATTAGGAGGGTTTCTTTCCAAAGGACCAACTATGAACCAGCAAAAACAATTGCTCTAATATAAGCCATGGAAAAACCACAAAGTATAAATTAACTAGCCAGAAAAAAAAAGTTGAAAGCCAAGCTCAGAAGTGTAGGAATACAGCCTGGGTGGCAAGCACTGGCGTGCAAGGGCCCTGCATTCCATCTGGAGAGTCACAGAAGGCGATACAGCGGTGCACATTTGTAATCCCTGGACTCAGGAGGTGGAGGCAAGGAGAATCACATGTTCAAAGTTGACCTCAACTGCATATCAAGGTTAGCCTGGGGTACATAGGACCCTATCTCAAAAAAACAAGAATAGATACATAGATCATTTATTTTAAGCCAAGTGTAATGGTATACACCTGTAATCTCAGCACTTGGGAGGCTGAGGCAGGAGGATCAGGAAGGAGGATCAGAACCACACAGAGAAAGTATCTCAATAAATCAAACCAAAACAAAGCAAAAGCCCCCAATGACTTTGAATTCGGCTCAACAGTAAAGAAGCTGTATGCACAGGGCTGTAAGTTTGACCATGAGCATAAGAACAAACAACTTTCAAAGTTAAAAGTGCAAATGCATAAGATGAAGTCTTTTAAGCACATGAAGATGTCTAGAGGGTAACTCGACAAGCACTCCGTTGTTTGTGCTTTTCACTTCCTCAAAGGATTGTGGGAATGTTGCCTTCTGTGTAAGAACCACCAGGAACTGGGTTCCACCCCTTCTCCACCCGAAGCGGAAGGTGCAGTGAGTGAATCCTGCTTGTCACTCCCAGGGCTGCTTGCACAGATACACAGAGCATACACCCGGACACTATATATACTATCACTTTGCACATTTTTAAACATGATATAAATGACATCAGCGAGTATTACTACTGTGCTACTATTTTCTCATTCAACACTGTTTTTCAGACTTAATCCATATTCATAACACAGAATACTTAACACAGGAAAGAAATCATGAGCAGGGCTAAACCCAACTCCAAAACCAAACAAAAAGAACACAGAAACCCTGTCTGAATTAATTTGCAACTTCAATTTCCACAAGGTGCCCTTGTCTTCCCACTTCTCCGGCTTCTTTGGAAAGCTCCCAGCCTCCAAGATGAGGGTCTAAGGAGCTTCCCTGCCCCCCCGGGGGGGGGGGGGGGAGTCAGACTCCTTTGGTGCAGAGCTCGCTGACAGAAAGGATGTGCATGCCCTTTCCCCCAGCAGTGCCCACCAGGACAGTTAACTAGATCCTCTGCCGAGTATTTATGAACAATGATGCCGTTAGACATTTGAAGTTTCGTTATGGAAAAGAAAACCCTTTGCAGGGAAGACTTACAATTGGCGTCCCGAAAGGAATGTAACCTGTGGGTGAGGAGAGAAAGAGTCAGGCCCCATGAATCTTCTGGGTCTCATGAAATACCCAGAAGCTTCTGGGGCTTGCTCTGACCCATGGCTCTGGTGAAGAAGCCCAACACAATCATAGAGAGACACCACAGTCTTCCCTTGACTCAGCACTCCCCAAAGCAGAGGACTCACTGTCCCCCTGACTCCCAACCCCTCTCTGTTCCCCAGCTGCCAGACAACTCCAGCTCCCTCCAGAATCCAGAGGCTGGCCTGCTGCTGGTCACCAGTGGTCCTCTGAACCACTTCCTCTCTGAGACACAATACTCAACTTCTCCCAACCCTCAATCTCTATGATTTTATCTCCCAAGGAACCCTGAGTGTCTTCCTTCCTTAGCCTTAAAAACAAACAAACAAACAGAAAACCTTTCCACCTCACAGGCATTCCTGGGCCAGGAATTCCCTGTCTGCTTGAGATGGGCATATGTTAGATGCCAGAGCATTTAAAAGCTCTAATGTTCTCGCTGGCCAGCCTCAGAGAACAGTAGAGCGCTGGGTAAGGTTCAGCCAGGTCCTGCCCTGTGTGCGAGGCTTCCACACTGCCATCAGTGGGCAGCCTCCTATCCCTTAGCCTCTGACTTATGCTAGACAGTCAACTGATGGGCAGGCCCCAGGAGCCATATTCATTTGAGTTGTATGGAGAACCCAGGTTCACATCCTGTGCAAACACAGCTCTGTGAGCTGATGCCACAGCTCTCCTGCGCCTCCCTCTGGGGACAGGGCCAAGTCTGGGGGGTTAGAATACGGGGTCTGAAAGGAATGCCTGCTACAGAAAGGTCCAGAATTATAAAAGAAGGCAGGCTGGGGTGTGAGCCTGCTATGCCAGGAGAGGGATGTGGACAGCTCTAACGTTAGGTCCTATGTGTTCAGAGCCTTTGCTACCTAAGCCCTTTACAGCAAAGCCAGGGCTGCTGACAATTCACAAAATGGTATCACACAGCCATGTCTTGGCTGAGTCTCTAGGAGGTCAGGCTCTCTGAGGTAGGGCATTCTCAGCTGACTGGGGTCTCCGTTCCCAGCCAGGTAGAGGCCTTTCCAAGGTAGCAAACAGCAGCCCTTCACTGCATTCTCATGAATCGCAGTGGGTGAAAATGTCTACGAAGAGACGGCAGCGCTCTGGTGTGGACACACCCCTCTGTAGTGACTTGGGGCAAAATCCATATCCTCTCAGAGACAGGGAAAGGGCCCCTATCTCAGCCTGAGCAAATGTACCCTGAGCCCCAAGTGTGAAACACACAAAGTAGCCCTCTAGGGGGCTACCAGATAGGACTTCCTGGGTGGAGAATCTCAAGACCCCTGTGCACATAGGCTCCACAGAACAAGAACCCTGCCTTGTCTATGCACACAACAGTTGTGAGCACACACTGCACATGTCTGCCCAGAAAGAAAGGCTAGTTAACAACAAGATCAAAGGACAGCGAGTCAGTCTAGATGCTATGGCTTAGGACAGGGAGAAAGAATGTGTCACAAATGGTCAGATAGGAGTTATAGAAGCCAGGGCTTCCCACAGCCAGTGGCATGAGGCTATTAGAGAGGGTTTTGTGACCTGGTGGAGGCCAGGACCCAATGCAGGTCACAGCTCTACCCCAACCACAGGTGGAAAAGAGAGACGAGTGTGTGCCTGATCTAACACGGTTGAGCTAACGTAAACACGTGGGGCATAGCAGAGTGTGGCTGTATGTGTGAGAGGCCACGTCCTTCTCTGGTGCCGGGCTGCCTCCAAATTGAAATATTCACTTCTGGAGGAAGTGGGGTTCATAGTATGGAGGTATTTGAAACAAGGCTCAGGGTGCTCAGAAAGTTACACAATACCCAAGACCCTCTCCGAGGCTACAGAAACAGTAGGCACTCACCGAGACTCTTCAGGTGGCACTGCCTGCAAAGCTGGTAAGAAGTGCCAGGGATGCAGCTGTCATGAGTTGCTCCCTATGTTGGGATGCTCCTTTAAGTCTAACAAACCTGATGGCTCACCAAGAGATTTGAGTGGACTATTTCTTTGGGATGCCATCAGTACCCTTTCTGGGATGAGTACATGTTTTTTCATGTCTTCCCAGGAAAATTCATATAATGTCTAAAACGTGGCCACCCCTAGCTCTGTCGCAGCCAGCACCTCCAGCTGGGCAAAGCCAGGAGGGTCTTGGGAGCTCACCTGACATTCTGAAAGGCATGAAGATCTTCTCGTTGGTGTCCGGGTGTAGGATAGCCTGGTCGTAGGAGAAGAGAGCAGGAAGACAAGCAGAAGCATTAAGGATAAGGGATAGGACAGCTGCCCCAAGAAGACCCTCTCTCCAGGGGCTCTGTGTTGCCTCTGAACACTTGGCCATGGTTGGCATCCTCCTCCTCACACAGCCTCCATCCCCAAGAAAGCCAAGACTGTGCCCACTTTACCCTTGGCTGACACATAACAGGCACAGAACCAGACCTGGTGGACAGAACCCAGTCTTTTCTTGGAACTTCCAGAGTTCCTGGGGTGAGGCCAGTCAGGCCAGAACCTCAGCCTTTGGATGTTCAGGGCCTAGGGTGCTAGGAGGAAGGATGGGGTAGGGAGAGGCTGGACACCCAATAGCCATGGGACGAGGGCTTCTACTAGATGCCTGGGTCAGGGAGAGGAGGAGTCCAGGAAAGCACAGAGAAGGAGACGAGAAGAACCCAGACTAAATTACCTGTTTGATTTTCTGTGCACTCCAGAGCTGAAAAAGAAAGAGAAATAAGAATGAGAAGCTCTAGTAGTTTAAGCTCCATGCTTTCTTTTAATTTTAAATTTTTAAAGATTTATTTTTACTTATTAATATATAAGTATGTTATGTGTGTAAGTAAATGCCACATGTGTCCAGGCCTGTGGAGGTCAGAAGATGTCAGATTTCCCCGGAGCTGGAGTTAATAGGCAGATGTGAGCTACCCCATGTGGGATCTGGGAAATGAATCAAGTCCTCTGAGAGGGCAGCCAGTGTTCTAACCACTGAACCACCTCTCCAACCCCCAATTAATTTATTCTTGAGCCAGGATATTCTGTAGTCCAGCATGGCCTCAAACTCATTATGTAGCTGGCAATGGCCCTGAACTCATGATCCTCCTGGAGCCTCTACCTCCAGCACATGTGGTTTAATGTGTTCCACCATGCTCAGCTCACGGGATCCCGGCATAGAACCCGGGGTTTTCAGCATGCTAGACAAGCATACTACCAATAAGGCTGCAGCTCGAGCCCACTTTTTTTGTTTTGTTTTCCTTCTTTTTGCTAAATTCATATCTTTAACTAGCGCATCTTCATTATGACATTTTTTTTTTAAATTATTATTTTATGTCTATGAGTACACTGTAGCTGTCTTCAGACACACCAGAAGAGGGCATCAGACCCCATTACAGGTGGTTGTGAGCCACCATGTAGTTGCTGAGAATTGAACTCAGGGCCTCTGGAAGAACAGTCAGTGCTCTTAACCACTGAGCCATCTCTCCAACCCCATTATGACATGTTTATATGTGTAATCTTTGCACCTGCTGCGTGCCATGTTCTCTTACTAAAGGGACTTTGAGACAATATCTTCTGTAGTATAGTGAATCCTCAACTCCTGATCTTCCTGCCTCTACTTCCCAAGGGCTGGGGGCACAGGTAACATGTGCTTTTCAAATCCAGAACACATGACAAGTGAACATCAACACTGGAGAAAACAGTGGCCTGTGATCCCAGCAACTCAGGAGGATCAGGAATCTGAGAGCAGCCTGGGATACTTACGACCTCATTTTAAAGCATTAAACAAATTGATGTTTGAAATATCTAAACGGAAAAGATCATTTCTCAGTGAGCCTGTATACACACAAGAGACAGAAAAAATTCGGAGGAAACAGGACAACTCAGGAACTAAAGAGAACTTTGAAAACCCTGCAGTATCTTCAGAGAGACACAGGGTGCGCAAGAAAAGGGGAGGGGCAGACTTCCGCTCTCCCACTTCCTGCCTGCCTTCCTTTCTTCCTTTGCCCATTTCTTTCTTCCTATTTGTTTTTCTTTTTCCCCCTTTCAACCTTCCTTTTAAAAAATAAAGATTTTATTTATTTTTTTTATTTATATTATTTTATTTATTTATTTATTTATTTTATTTATTATTTATTTTATTTATTTATATTACGTGTACATTTGCAGGTAGCAGGTGTTGTGCACATGTGTGCAGGTCTCTACAGAGGCCAGAAGAGGGCGCCAGATCCCTTGGTACTGGCGTTATAAGCCAGTATGTGCTTCCCAGTATAGATGCCGAGAATCTAACTTTGGTCCTCTACAAGAGCAAGGTGTACTGTAACTGCTGAGTCACTGTCCCTACCCCATGCTTTGTCCCTACCCCAAGACAGAGTCTTATGTAGCCCAGGCTGCTCTCAAACTCTCCACAGAGCTGAGGATGGCCTTGAAATCCTGACCCTCCTGGTTCCACCTCCTGAATACCAATCACACTTTATGTGGTGCTTCCTGCACAGAAGCTACATTCCAACTGAGCTACAGCCCCAGGCAATGTTTCTGCACACAGGAGGCCAGCGGTCAATCTCGCCTGTGTTCAACCACTTTAGACCCTATTGTTCTGAGTCAGCTAGACCGACTGGCCAGTGAGCTCCAAGGATGCTCTTATCTCTGCATCCCCAGTGCAGGGATTCAAGATGCACGCCACTCTCTCTGCCTGGCTTGTCCACAGGTGCCAGGGATCAAACTCAGGTCCTTGTGTCTGCACAGCAAGCCAGCAAGCACTCTACTGAATGAGCCTTCTCCTAAAACTTCTTTTTTTATTCTTTGTTCTTTGTATGCTTCTAGAATTCTGTATCTTGTTCACATATTGCCATTTCAAAATTAATTGTGTGTGTGTGTGTGTGTGTGTGTGTGTGTGTATGCATATGTATATATCAAAGGCAGGGCTGGCTGTTAAGGGCAACACCACTTGTGCTGCATGCTCAAGACCCTGGACACGCCTTGGGAGGCATGATTTCTGAGTTCGAGGCCAGCCTGGTCTACACAGTGAGTTCCAGGACAGTCAGGACTACGCAGAGAAACCCTGTCTCGAAAAACCAACCAAACAAACAAACAAAGACCCTGGACACGCACTGTAGATCGGCGGTTCTCAACCTTCCTAAACCCTTTTAAGACAGTTCCTCATGTTGTGGTCACCCCCAACCATAAAATCATTTCATTGCTATTTCATAACTAGAATTTTGCTACTGTTATGAATTGTAATGTAAACATATGGTATATGCCCCCTGTACAAGGTCATTTGATCCCCAAGGGGATGCACAGGTTAAGAACCACTGCTATAGTTTAATCTGTTAGTTGGTTAATATAATAAAGACAACCACTAGAAAAAGAAGCTGTGTACTTAAAACTTTTGATGAGCTGGGCTTAGTGGTACACACCTTTAATCCCAGCACTCAGGAGGTAGAGGCAAGTATATCTCTGTGTGTTCATGGCCAACCTGTTCATAGTGAGTTCTAGGACAGCCGGGGCTACATAGTGAATAGTGAGAACCTGTCTCAAAAAAACATAAAAATGCTTTTGCTTTTGTGTTTTGGTTTTTAATGGGATAGATCCATAGCATCCAAGCCCTCCATTAGCTCCTTGGTGTGTGGAGGATGAAATGTCCAACAAGATTCCCACAGTTTGGGAGCAGCAGCTGGTAGTGGCTGACCATGAGGGTCTGTGGAACTGAGCCCCTTTGGCAGAAGAGAAGTGATTTGCACCTTCCCCAAGCCAGCGCTCCCCATCCCTGTACCTTCTGTTTCTTCCTGTGTCTCAGAACTAGGTGGGGCTGCACCATAGCCTTGCTGATGCTAACAGGGCACCACCAAGGGAAGGCAGAGCCAGCCAAACAAACATTTCTTCTCTTCTCAGCAGGTACTTTATCGCTACTGAAAGCCAAGTGACCATACACAGGGTCAGGCCCTTTGGCCTTGGGGCAGCCGCCATCTTTCCTTGTTCTCCTGGTCAAATTCCCACATGCCTTTGACTTGTATATTTTTTTTGACTTATATATTTTTGACTTGTATATTTTCCCCCTTATGTTAAAGCACACCTGTAACCCCAGCCTCAGGAGGCCAAGGCACAAGCCTGGATTCAAGACCAACTTAAGCTAGATAGCAAGTTCCAGGCCAGCCTGGGCTGCAGGAAGAGAAACTGTCTCAACAAATCAAAACCAAGTAAACAAAAAATTAACCAGAGCAGGGTGTGGTGACATATGCCTACATAACCCTAAACTCAGGAGGTAGAGGAGAAAAGATCATCAGTTCAAGCCATTCCCAGCTACACAGTGAATTTGAGGCTATCCTGGGCTACAAGAAACCCTGTCTCAGATAGCAATCAGTCAGAAAAGGAAGGAGGTGAAACCCATGCTCTCGACCTGACATGTCTACCACACCAGGCCCAATGCAAAAGAACAGGTCAGAAACACTGAGTTTACAGTGTCTGGCTGAGCTTTGCCCTGTGACCTGCTGGACCGACAAGTTAAATATTGTGTTCAGAAAAGGTAGCAAGTACTGCCCACAGTGAAAAGGCTCAAAGTCCACAAGTCACTTGTGCAAACAGGTCACAGAAGCCACCCTGGGACATATAACCATACATGGAAGGCCAGCTGAACCACAGTGGCTCACTACCAAATGGAGAGTGCAGGCCAGCACCCCTGGCATCTTCACAGAAGCACACAGCACCTCCACTCTGAGCTGCAGACCCAGGTTTAGAGCCGACCTCCATTGTGCTCACTCAGCCCAGCATCCAGGGCACCTCTGGCTGAACAGGGAACTGTCCCGGCCCTGACCCGGTGAGAATGACTGGCTTTAGCAATGGCTCTGCATGGATCTGAGAGCTGAGACTCTGTTTGTTTGGCTCACATGGAGAACAGGGACAAAGGGCAGTGTGGGGAAGCCATCTGGGTGGCAGTTAGAACACACAAATTCACAGATTTAAGAAGTGGCCATTGTCTCAGCTGAACCTGCCTCAACGGAGACTATGGGAAGGGTGGGCTGGGGTCCCACGTGCTACTAGAAGGCAGGACACACCCCAGCACCCAGAGGGAGAACAACAGCCCCACCCCCAGTCTGGCTCAGTTACTTCCCCTCTGTCTCCTAGCAAGCTGCTTCTTTAAACCTCCTAAGGCAGCAAAGACAGAGCCTATTTAAAACAACCTCCAGAAGGTAATTAAACAGAGCTGAAGGGGACCCTTCTGTACGGGAAGGACGCCTCCATTCAACAAACAAAAAACTTCCTAATTGATCAGTTGAGCCCAGTGCATTATAGCGCACCATTAATTGTGTTGCCATGGAAACTCCAGGTACCATGTACCTATACAAAGCCTATGTGGGGTGCAGGGAGCCCCCAACTCTACAGACACTGGAAAGAAGAGGGATGTCCCGACTGCTTCTGCAGACTGCTTCTAAGTAGAGGTCAGGCCCTGCAGAGGAGCCCAGGTTTGAATTCAAAATCCCCCAGGGGTTCACTAGGAGATGGGAGATGATTTACTTTGTCTTTCTGAGCTGCCAATATCTCTTTTGTAATATGAAGATAGAGATATCTACTTTCGAGCTTATTATAAAAGAATTCACTTAGTGAGCAAATGTTTATTAAGTACCTACTTTGTATTGAGTACTAATGATACCTCAACGCAAAACAATAGGCAGCTCAGTTGGTAGAATGCCGTTTTAGCATGTCTGGAATCCTGGGTTCCATGTCAGCATTACAAAAACCAGTCCTGGTGGTACCTGCCTATAACCCAGCACCCTGGAAGTGGAGATGGGAGGGGCAGGAAGTCAGAGTCATCCTTAGCTACATATTGAGTTTGAAGCCAGCCTGCAACACACAAGACCTGCAGTATAGCAGCTTCCTCCAAACTCAAACACTCCCTCCAGAAGGGAGAGAAGATTATGAGACTCAGAAGGTAGACAAAAAGCCACATATCTGGGAAAGCAGAAACGTGAAAGATTCTGGGAGGTGTTTTCCAAGGGTATCAAAGCAGGCTATAACTGCTGGGGATGGAGACTGATCGACCAAGCTGAGAGAAGAGACTACACTGTAGAGCTCCTTCAAGTCACATGCCATTCATTGTGTGGCAGCCATTTAAGAAGGCAACCATCTGTGGAGAATCTATCAGCTGTCCATGAACAGAAAAGCAAGCTAGGCTACAGGACACACCACCTTGGATGGCTTAGATAACTAAGGGCACACACAAGATATCCGGGTGGTGCAGGGCAGTGGTGGCACACGCCTTTAGTGGTGGCACTTGGGAGGCAGAGGCTGGCGGATTTCTGAGTTTGAGGCCAGCCTAATCTACAGAGTGAGTTCCAGGACAGCCAGGGCTACACAGAGAAACCCTGTTTCAAAAAACAAAAACAAAAACAAAAGATATCCAGGTGGCTTGTGACATTATCAGGACCAGCTTTGGAACTTTGATCCACACACCTGCCAAAGAATCATAGAGCAGACAGAGCACAGTGCAGAGAGACCACGACTACTGTGTATTCCAAGAAACCTGTGGGACTCTTTAGATGCCCAGGACATGATGCTTAAGCAAGGCCATCCCTAAGCTAGGACCTGGGGCTCTCCTTAATGTCACACTGCTGTGGTGAAGCTAATATGCCATCTCTATCTACTGTATCCCCAGTCTGTGAAGGCCAGGCATATGTGACATTGATGACTGTGGCCTAAGGAAGGAGGCACTGTGACAGCCACCACACATAGTCCAATTCTTCAGGCTCAGCAGAGGGAGACACTGCTCCAGGGGACCAGAGTGACAGGCTCACACCTAGAGTACTGTGCCACCTAGCCACCAGATGGACCCACCAGGCTCTGCCACTGCCAGCCAGAACTCAGCAGCACAGGAAACAGCTAAATGCCAAGCTCCAGGCCCTTCCCCCCACTCCCAGGAGGCCTGAAGGGGCTTTGGGGACAGCAAACAAAGCTGAAAAACAGGACAGCAACTCTTCATCTATCTGAGGGAGCAAAGAGAATAATGTGGCCTCTATCCTCAAACTCTGGGAGGTCCCAAGAGGCCCAGCTCAGTGGCCGTGGTGCATGAAGGAACTTAGGCAGGTAGCAGGCCAGACTCTGAAAATGCCCTTACTTCTAATGGGTACAAAGGTACTGGAAGGTGTGTGGACCCCTTCAGGCTACAGAGGGCTGGAGGCTCAGGTCCATCCTGCAGACCGAAAGCTGGACAGAAATGTCACCACTAGGGAATGAGGCTATAGCCTGACTCTCTGCCCAGGGCTGCAGGGCAAATACCTCAAGACAGACAGGACCTGCTTGGTTGCCTGGACTTCCTGTCTCATCACTCCTCAGGGCGCTGCATGGGCACTGGGCCAAGGTACTGAGATCACTTTAGCATGCTAGACTCTAGCACATTCGCCCTGAGGTGCTTCCTCTCTGGACTTTCAGCACAGTGTACATCTTTGTCTGCTCTAGTCCCACTGAAAACTTGCCCACTCCTTTTTCTTCCTTGCCTAGACCACCCCCTCCTCATTAGCAGGCTTCTCATCAGCCAACCTCAAGTTAAGAAAGAAAGAAAGAAAGAAAGAAAGAAAGAAAGAAAGAAAGAAAGGAAGGAAGGAAGGAAGGAAGGAAGGAAGGAAGGAAGGAAGGAAGGAAGGAAGGAAGGAAGAGAGAAAGAAAGAAAACCTTGCAGGCTAAGTTTGTGGCATACAACTTTAATCTCAGCACTCAAGTCATAGAAGGATGAGTTTTATGAGTTTGGGCTAGCCTGGTCTACATAACACATTCTAGGACAGCCATGACTACACAGAAAGACCCTGTCTTAAAAAGCTAGGCAGTGGTGGCACACACCTTTAATCCCAGCACTTAGGAGGCAGAGGCAGATGAATTTCTGAGTTCAAGGTCAGCCTGGTCTACAGAGTGAGTTCCAGGACGGCCAGGGCTATACAGAGAAACCCTGTCTCGAAAAACAAAAGAAAGGAAGAAAGAAAGAAAGAAAGAAAGAAAGAAAGAAAGAAAGAAAGAAAGAAAGAAGAAAGGAAGAAAGAAAGGAAGGAAGGAAGGAAGGAAGGAAGGAAGGAAGGAAGGAGAAAGAGGGGTAGGGGGAAGCCCATAACCCAAGTTCTAAGGACTCTTGAAATGGAGAGAATTTGAAGTCAAGAGTATCAAGAATTCAAGGACATCCTTGTCTATACAGCAAGGTTGAGAGCCATCCTGGGCTACATAAGATCCTTTCAACAACAACAACAAGGACAGAAGGAAGGAAGGGGAGGAAGGAGAGAAGATGCAGAGTGGAGAGGATGGATGGATACAGAGGAGAAGAAGGGATAGAGGATCATAAACAACCTCAGAGAAAGAACATAGACAACCTCCAAAAAATCAGAAATTAAAGGCATCAGGTTTTCCAAAAGCCATACTATAGGTCAGGAGAAAATAAACAATAGTCTTCAAAACTATGAGGAGAAAGATAATTGTTGACCTAGGACTTTCTCACATAGTGGCATGTTAAGTTTGAGTGGTACCACATGCCTTTAAAGTGGGTTTGAGGATAGCCTTGTCTATATGGTGAGTGATACTCTATCTCAAAAAACAACAATAATAAAACACTCCAAACATTTAAACATTCTTCTTATCTATCCCTTTCAGGGAGCCACAAAAAGGATTTGACCAGAGCTACAGGATACACAAGAAAGACCTAGGACTGGCTGGCTGAAGGAAAGGGAAACTGGCAACGAAAGGCAGGGGACAGTCAAGTAAAAGGAGGCACTGAAATACGGACTGCAGAAGATGCAGCAAGAGCAAGAAGTGGAACAAAGCTTATCAGTGAAAAACATAGGCAATGATTAACTCCAGATAAAAACATAAAGTTGAAAAGACAAAAAACAGCCATGATACAAACAACTTGACTGGTCGGTGGCTGTTATTTAATAACGGGAACAACATGAGAAGCTGAAATACAGATCTCAAAACCATGATTAAATATTTGAGGAGGAGGCTGGACTAGAAGGAAGATATATCTTTACAGACATGGAAGATAAGACAGTCCCATCACCTACAGTACCAAATAGCTGAGAAATGGCAGTTCAGATGAGCAAGTACAAATTTACACATGTAAATACAGATTTACAGCTGAAATTCCACTAAAAGGAGCTTCTTCTGGTGACCAGGAATAGGCCTGGGGAGGGACAACACAATGGTTTGTTTTTTATTATTATTACAAGGGTCTTTTAAAACTATGTGTAAATATTTCTTTGAAAAATATGGAATAAAGTTTTGAAATAAAGTTTCTGAACAAAAAGAAAAACTTTGGCATAACAGTCACAAGATTCTGGGATCATCCTCCTGCCTCTGCCCACCCCCTGGCATGGGTACCTGTTCATTGGTAACTCCTGGGCGTAGGGTGCCATGCTTGTAGTCCTCCAGCAGTTGCACAGCCTCCCTGAGACGTTTCTGCAGAGGAAAGAGAAGAGACACTGTGTGGCATCAGACCAGTACTCCTGAAAGTTCTTCCTTCATGAGACTACCTCAGCCAGAGTGACGGTGTTCATGGTGCATGGCCACAGCCCTCAGAATACACACGAAACAGTAGGAAGAGTCCTGTCTAAATGTGCTTCCACAGGGACCGGGCTCAACAGCAGTGGTATATACAACAAGTCAGGCCAGTCCAACCAGAAACTGAACTAAAACTCAGGAGACGGTTTAGTCAGTAAAGTGCTTGCAGGCAAGCACAAGGACCTAGGTTCAAATCCCTAGAATGTACTAAAACATAAACATGAGGTAGTATATTCTTGAAATCCCTAAACTAGAGGGGTTGAAACAGGGATTCCTGGGGCTTGCTGGTAGACAGCATAGCCTGCTTGGTGAGCTCCGGGCCAGTGAGAGGCACTCTTCTCAAAACAAAAAGGTCAACAGCACCTGGGGAACCACATCTGAGGTTGACCTCTGGCCTCCACACCCATGCATGCACACACACACACACACACACATAAAGTGAATAAAAACATTTAAAAATACCAACAGATTTACCTACTCAAGTACTTATGGCTACCATACCTGACAGAGAGGGAGGAGGGATAGAGGGTTGAATCTCATTTTTTGACAGCAAACAGTGGTGTATAGAAGACAGCCTTCATTCACCAAGAGACTTGAATAAAGATGTTCGCAACAGCTCTCAAACACGGCCAAGACTACAGATAACTAATAGAAGTGTAAATAAGTAAACTGGACTATCTGTGCTCAATAAAACACCACACAATAACTTGCCAGGAGTGGTGGTGTTGCCTGAAAACCAGTCAAATACCAGTATTAGAGACATGGGTAGAGGAAGCCTGACTTCCAGGCCAGTTTGGGCCACAAAGTATGTCCCAAGCCAGTGTACACTAAGCAGTGAGACTCTGTCTCAAAAAGAGGCAGACAAGCCAGGTGCCGAGACACATATTTTTAAATCCCAGCACTCAAGAGGAAGAAACAGGTAGATCTCTGTGAGTTTGTAAGAGATCTAGCCTGGTCTGTATAGTGAGTTCCAGCCAGTGAGGGCTACACAGACTCCTGGAGGATGGCAGGGGAGGGGGAAGGGACAGGACTGAGAGAGAGAACGATAATTTACTTCCTAGGTGGTAGTGTATTCCCAACACCAGAACTTGTGAGGTGGAACCAGAAGGATCTGGAGTTCAAACCAGCTTTGATGACATAGTGAATCTAAAGGCAGCCTGGGCTACACAAGAAACCAGCAGAAAGAAGAGGAAAGGAGAAAAGTAAGGAAGGAGGGAGAATGGAAGGAGGGAAAATAGATAGCAATTGAAAGAGTAAGCTGTGCCAGGCAGTGGTGGCGCACGCCTTTAATCCCAGCACTTGGGAGGCAGAGGTGGGTGGATTTCTGAGTTCGAGGCCAGCCTGGTCTACAGAGTGAGTTCCAGGACAGCCAAGGCTATACAGAGAAACTTTGTCTTGAAAAACCAAAAACAAACAAAAAAGAGTAAGCTGAAAGGAGGGTGGTGTGTGTAAGTAATCCTAGCACTGCAGAGGTGGAGGCAGGACCACCAGGAGATCGAGTTACACAGCCTTGGTTACACAGGAAGTTCAAGAGCAGCCTGTGCTATACAAGATCGATGTGGGAGTAGGGGTAGCCTAGAAAACCATGACCTCCGTGCAACACAGATAACTCTCACTGGCATAATGGGCCTTCTAAAAGATAGTCACCCCTTATCCAAATCTCCCAGAGTGTTCTAGAATGTTTCCATATCCATTCCATATCCAAGTCTATATGGCTGAGTTAGAGTTTCATTGTTGTGAAGATACACCACGACCGAGGCAATTCTTATAAAGAAGACATTTATTTAATCATGGCTGGTTTACAGTTTCAGAGGTTTAGTCCATCATCATGGCAGGAAGCATGGCAGCGTGCAGGCAGACATGATGCTGGAGGAGCCAAGATATCTTGATCCAAAGGCAGCCAGAAGACTGGCAATCCATACTGACAGTTTGAGTATAAAAGACCATCCCCATAGTGACATATTTCCTCCAACAAGGCCGCACCTACTCAAACAAGGCCACACCCCCTAATAGTGCCCCTCCCCATGAGCCAAGCACTGAAACACATGAATCTATGGGGCCATATCTATTCAAACCCCCGCAGTGCCCTCGCCTTGATTCCAGGCAGATTTTATGACTATCTCAACACACAGAGGGCTGGCCCAAGGCTAGACTATAAAGTCTTACACTTTCACTTTGCTCTCAAGATTGTCCCTCTCAGAAGCAGCCACCATACTGTAAGGAAACTCCATCAGCTCAGGAAAGACCCACACGCAGGAGCAGTAAGCCTTAGGGCACTGTTCCACCTGATCCACTCCTCCACGCAGCACACACTCACCTACCACACCTCTTCCTGAATCTGTCCATTTCCAAAGTGGATACTTTGCTTTCTGCCCCAGCTACCCACTCCCCTCTTCTCCAAATATGTAAACAATTTATGATGTTTGGAGAACATCAGCCAGAGTGACACATGACGGACACACTTGCAGTCGTAGCACGTGGGAGGTGGAGGAAGGAGGATCAGGAGTTCAAGGCTAGCCTGAGCCACACAGTGAGCCAAAGAACAGTCTGGGCTACAAAGTAAGACCCTGCTTCATAAAACAAAGAACAGGGGCTAGAGAGATGGTTTGGTGCGTAAGCAAACATTCTTTTACAGAGGACCCAAGTTTGATTTCCAACAGCCATGTCAGAGGGCTCACCAATATCCGCAATTCCAATTCCAGTGGATCTAAGGACCTCTTCTGCCCTCCGTGGGCACTGAGCTCACATGCACAAACTCCCACACATAAACTTTTTAAAAACTAACAACAAAGAAACTGAGTGCAGTGGTCCATGCTTGAAATCAGCGCTCGGGAGGGGCTGAAGCAGGAGGGTCTCAAGGGAAACAAAGACACCAAGAGAAACAGGAAAGGAGGGTGGAAAGATGGCTCAATGGGTAAGAGCACTGACTGCTTCTTCCCAAGGACCTGGGTTCAATTCCCAGCATCCACATGGTAGCTCACAAAAGAAAGCAGGAAAACATAAAACCCATTCCCAGCTACCACACACCATGCAACAGAAGTTTGACTTTTCTTCTAGACTCTGAATATTTTTCTTTCCTTTCTCTTTGTTTTTGTTTTGGGGGTAGGGCTTCACTTTGTAGCCCAAGCTACCCTAGACTTCACCGTGTAGCTTGCTTCTAACTTGTGGACAATCCTCCTGCCTCAACTTTCCAAGTGCTGGGACAGGAGGTGCACACAGCTGGCCTTGTGTCTCAGTCACACTGGACCACGTTGTTTCAATTCACTTAGGCTGCATAAGGAGTAAATTCAGGATTTAGCACTTGAACTAAGTTTCATTAAACCTTTGCCAGGCACCACAGACCACAAGCACCCCAAAACTCCCAGGGGTGCTCAGGTCCCCCAAGGCTGAGTGGCTGAATCTCCTCCTGCTGCCTGAGCCTCTAAAGACCTGGACAATGCATGCTCTACTTTCTAGCGAAATGCAGTAAAAGGCCCTGAATTCTCATTATTTCTCCCACCCCAGGGATTCTCCTGAGTTCCTATAACAACCTGGCCAGGTTCCATCTCATTTGACACAGTCATCAAAGGCAGCCTCAAGCCAAAAGAATCAGTTCCAATAAAGCCCTGAGCTTGGCAAAGAGTGTGAGGAAGGAGGAGAGCCAAAGTTCCTGCAGACAGGCCCGAGGGCCCACGCAGAGAAAGCTAGAAGGAACGTTTTTTAACTCTGGGCCTCTCTGCTAGAGTTGACCTAAGTCTTGCTCAAAGGTCCTGTGGGATGGACAAGGCTCCAGTCACCTGTGTGGAGAGGCCACAGGAGCTGGCTCCTCTGGGGGCTGCTCAGGGAGTCCTGGAGCTCACAAGAAATGTCTCCCTGCTATGGCCTCCTCTCCAGCCACTATATTATGGTGCTTGGCAAAAGGCCCTGGAGGGGGGAGTGCCGAGAGGTCAGCACTGGGTGAGCTTGGCAGGAAGTCTTTTCAACCAGGAATAAACAGGCAGCCAGTCCCTGAATGTAAAAGCTCTGAGGGGCCGGCCCAGCTGGCTCTGGAGAGGCTGCTAGCCTGTGGCCCCTGCCTGAAGGAAGCCCCAGGCTAGAAGCAGACTGGTCAACCATGCTGCTTCCCAACTCCCCATCACCAGCCCTCCAGCCTACGGCCAGCATGCCTCAAAGAGGTACTATGAGCCTCTCTCTATAGCCCTCAGAGGTATGGTCTCTAGAGGCCCTGTGCAAACACATGTACTGGGAGGCGGGCTTTAGCAGCAGACTATTGGTGAGAACAGCATCTTGCCCCTCTGGACCTGCTGGAAAGGTAAGCAGAGATGAGTAGGAAGCACAAGTACAGGCTCGGAGATTGGGGGAGGTGGGTCAGAGGCAGAGCGTCACAGGAAATAAAAGATATAAAAAGAGAGGCAGGAGCTGGGTAGGTGGTGTGCATCTGTAATCCTGTCACTCCAGAGGTGAAAGCTTGAGAATTGGGAATCCAAGGCTAAGCTCAGCTACATAGTGAGTTCAAGGCCATCCTGTGCTACATGAGACTATGTATCAAAAAATAACAAGAGGTATCCTAGAGACACCCCCCAAAAAAAAAAATCAACTCAGGATACTGTCATTGCTCTTGGTTGACCACCAGAACTTGATGGCAAGGCAGTATTCTGAAGAAACCACACAGGTCACAGGACATGGAGAAATTAAGTAGGTACTGATCATAAATCTTCCTCCCTACTGTCCAGCTCTCATAGTACCTGAAGGTGACACACAGGCTGCTGGGAAAGAAAAGTCATCAACAGTTTTACTTAGTTGTGAACTACAATAGCAACCTACATGACAAGATTTGCCTGTAGGTGCAGGAGTGGTATGGATGTTATGGGGGTAACCACCTGCTCTCTGGTTAGGCTGAAGACTCACTACACAGGAGG